TAAGAAAATCACACTGCCCACCTGATGGTAAGCGGTTACCGTGGCCTATGAACGTTTGCAACACAACCTAGTTAACCTGCCTAAGTTTAAGACATCATTTCCAAAAAAACCCTAACCATAAACACAGTGAACATGAATGACGCTAGATAAAAATCTACGTTGTCATTTTAAAATAAGAATGCACAAACTTCCGGCGCGTCTTTTAGATTAGAATCAAGATGTAGGTAGTTCTAAATTGAGATCCGTGATGTGTTTTATACGACTGGGCCAGTTAAAATTTACTTACAAACTGAATGGTACTTCTTCATACATATAAATAAATATTGTTATACTGATTGTAAGTTTCACTTTATAATATCACGCTTGTAATTTTCAGGGGAGTAAGAAGACTTGTTATTAACTCAGTTAGTCCCATTTTACACTAATTGTACGCACAACTTCGTCCCTATGTGAAAAATAACCATACCACTACCAATCAATAAAAGTGTCATCAAAATCGGTGTAGCTACTCAGAGATTAACTAACAGATAGACATAACACAACATAACATCACGCCTTTTATCCCCGAAGGGTTAGGCAGAGGTGCACACAGAAGTAACATCCACTTTTCACTATTTATGTTATGAGTCCCATGTAATAGGAGGTGAGCCTATTGCCATACCGGGCACATTTCCAGACTCCATGCTACTACTAAGATTTTAAATTCTAGTCATACTTTGTCCGACCCGGGAATCAAACCCGATTGACGGAAATTTAAAAAAGTGTTATTCTGGTATGGTATATTTGTATATTCATAATATGCATGTAGTAAAACGTTTAATTCAATACTGCAAACAGTATATACATACATACCTACTTACATATATACTTTATCAGACTCGAGAATCCAATACATAATACTATAACAATATTGATTGCCTCGACGGGCAAGGAGTCTCGGGTCCGATTCTCGAATCGGGCAAAGTAATATTGAGTTTTTACAAAATTTTCAATAACAGCACGGAGTCTGGAATTGTGCCTGTATATGGCAATAGGCTCACCCCCTATTACATGGGACTCATAACATAAATAGTGAAAAGTGGGTGTTACTGTGTGCACCTCTGCCTACCCCTTCAGGGATAAAAGGCGTGATGTTATGTTATGTTATGTTATTATAATTTTGCAACATTGATATTTAAACGAATGGAGCAGAAATATTTAGAAATTGACTTCGTTAGAAGCAACGGCTGACCGCCAAGAATGTTGCCGCGAATTTACATATCCGCTGTACTATGTATATTACAAATATTATCTGTTTATATAATATTATAAAATAAATCTGTCTGTATGCTTTCACACTTCATTCGATTAATCAAACTAAACAAATTAGGTGACAAGGAAATCAACCCTTACCCGTGAATGAAAGAAGCCTTCAATTTAAAACTCCATAAATTAGATTATGCAATTCATTTCAATTCGTTTTCAGTTTACTTTGGATTATAAGAGGTCTCGTGTCATTCTTAGTTATTAAGTTTAAAGCCTACTACTGTTCACAACCCATCATTTGACGAACGCATGCAACTTAGAAATGAGGATAAGTAGATTTGTGTACGTAATGAGTCACAGATTGTCGATATTATTATATTGGTTATCGCAACAAGTTTTTAAAAATGTCTAAGGTACTTTTATCTGCAGAAGGATACGATACGAAGAAGATCATTAAGCAAGTTGCATTCGTTGACGGTTTTCGTCATTGTTGGATATTTTATAAAATAGCTTGCGACCCGCACCGGCTTCGCACGGGTGCAATATGCATGTATTATACATATAAACCTTCCTCTTGAACCACTCTATCTATTAAAAAAAAAACGCATCAAAATCTGTTGCGTAGTTTCAAAGATTTAAGCATACAAAGGGACATAGGGACAGAGAAAGCGACTTTGTTTTATACTATGTAGTGATAGGTAGGTCCTCAGTAAAATTAATTATCTCTAACAGCCGAGGTGATACGACGAGGTGACCGAAATGATAGAAGAAAATTCTACAGATGAATTCGCGAGCAGAAGCTAGTTATATATTATAATGTATTAGAAACTCAGCGAGTAGTGACGTTGATAACATAAATCTCTTGAAGGCGACGAATAATGAAACGGTTGACGTAAGACCCTGGTATGTGTGATAAATACACAGGTCTAGACATGTTGCTACAGCGTTTGAGATAGGTTTCACTTATACCTCGTTTCTGAAGCGGGAAAATCAACTAAGCTGTTTTTACAACCCTTGTAACTCGCTCGCTCTGCTCGGCGCCTAGTAATCATAGCGTGATAGTTTAGCCTATAGCCTTCTTCGATAAATGGGCTATCCAACACAGAAATAATTTTTCAAATCGGACCAGTAGTTTCGGAGATTAGCGCGTTCAAACAAACAAACAAAAAACAGCTTCAGCTTTATAATATTAGCGGAGACCTACAAGCTCGTCTGCGGCCCCGAACGTTTAATATTTGAACTTAATAGAGTTTAAATGAAATATCGATTAATATAATATCTAAACAATAAACATCACATACAAAAACAAGAACAAGCAAAAAATACAAATCATTTATTGGTTATTGATTTGAGGAACTTTTCAGACACTGGGTGTTAGTCAGTACTACAGCTATATTCATTTATAAGTGCAGGTTATACGATAAAGGCATTTTTAAATACTAAAGGCGTAGATGTGCAATGACATACATAAAATAAGTAAATACTAAATTAAAACCAGGAAGACTAAAACTAAAGGTTTGTCGGGGCTGCGGCTCGAGGTAGGAGTACGAACAGGGTGGTTTTTAGTCAGTAAGAGTCTGACAGTCTCTCTCTCTCTCTCGCCTCATCTAGTTCAAGAGGAGTCATTGAATGATTTTGTCCTCTTTAAAAACATTCTTCTTCAATGTAATCGAGTATACCAATGCAGGAATTATGTACAAACTGCATTATTAACCTTTATAATATATAAATTGATCGTGTAACATTTGTCAGTAATACCAATTTACTTCACTCTCCTGAAACTGAAACAGGTGTTACGTTGACTTTAGATTTAGATTTTAATGTCTGAGTTTCAAGTCTATTAGACTAGATTTTATAATAAACTTGCAATTTTTCTAAAGCATTTACATAAAACATGTCATTTAAGAGATTTTAGTTTTATCTTTTATTAAAAGTTAAAAAGGTTTTTTTTTATTTGATGGGGCGACGTTTGACCACTATCTCGCCTGGTGGTAAGCGATGATGTGGCCTACGACGGAGCACGTCATCCCATAAGCAACCTATTCACTCGGGCCTTGAAGACTCCCAGGTTCCCCTTCAGAAAATACAGACTCTGGCAAAGAATTCCTTCAAGGTTTCATTAAAAAACGAAATATCTATTATCACTTAGCAATAAAAAAATCTCTAATAATTAATTCTTGTTAAAGTCATAACGGGTCTAAGTCGAGTCTAAGTTCAATAGTGGACCTATGAACATCATCGCGTTGCTGATAATATGATAATGATGATAAAAAATTATTATTACCTTTACATTAAGCTATAATTATTTCATTTTAAATGAACCTATAACTAACTATATTTCATCTGTTCAGGCCCAAAGACCTTGATACAATTTAACTAAAGTAATTAGAAGATCCGCTCTGATTATTTTACCTCGCGTTAATATTTCTGGCTTCATTTTATTGCAATAGGTGTGTGTCACTTGGCAGTATAGACAGTCTATGAAATAGAACGGACAACTACCCCGAACATTTTAAATGAAATAATTTATGTCATCAGTTGTAGCTTACACAGTAAAAAATGTTTCAAATTTTTATATAGTACTTTTTTATTTATCATTAATTTTATGTTTAAATATCACGATTGATAATTAAATTGTAGACAATTAAATGCTAAAATAATGAGACGAAAACCTGTCAAAATTTCAAGTTCAAAGTCTCAATAAAATTCCAAAAATAAAACTTAAAAATTACGATTTTTTTTATTAAAATTAATAAGCATGTTTTCCTTTTATCTAGAGAACATTAGGAAAATAAAATTACGTACCAAACTGTCGTAGAGTGAACATGATTGTTGTACACGACCCTCAAAGTGCACTGCGTGAATATAAGATCTCAGTGACAAATCCAATCCACGGAAATCTTCATGTAGTTACCTAACGGACCTAAAAATATACCGAGATATTTGGCTCCTCTATCTTATATAAAAAAACATAATAAATTCTAAATTATGTTCTATAAAATGACCACAACTGTTCACAGTTATGAGTGCTGGAAATAAACAGGAATTGTGAGGCGTGCCGAGTTTTTTAGTAATATAATACTTCGACCGGGTTTTTGAGAAACTCTCGCTGGAGAAATTTTCGGTTTTTAATTGTTTTTAATTTTATTATTGATTTTGGGGTTTATTTTATTCGTGATGGTTTTAAATTTATTTTATTTGTGTTTTTTTATTTTCATTTATTAATTTTTTAAGGGGTTGAGTTTTATTTTATTTTATTTATTTAGGTTCTGGGTAACTAAGTTACGTATAAAATATTAATTACAACATATTATTTCAAATTTTAGCAACATTTATGTGCACCTATAATAATAATTCCAAATTAATAAATATTAATATAATGAATTACTTTAAAAAATTGAACGTCAAATTAATTAATCAAAAAATTAGTTCTTAATTTTAATTTACTAAAAAAATTAATTTAAATAAAATTACAAAATATTTTTAAACTAAATAAAAATTCCTAATTACTCAAACCCAATTATAAATCCGTAGCATTAACGGCAAAAAAAAAACATTTCACTCGTCATGAAAGAATTTCGTAGCACCGAACGAACCGCGTAGCACTTTCGTAGCACGGACGACGATCACTAATACCCACGACAATTCATTAATTTTTATTCCAAAATTTTATTTGTTCTGTATAGTGTAGATTGTGTGGTAGAAAACTTGAAAATTCATACACGTTCCATGATAACACGGACCGATAAAATTACCAGCACTTAAAATCACTTCACACTTAACACTTTAAAAAAATATCTTCCAGATTGTACCGTACGGCTTAACGGGTGACTCGAGACTAGGCCGCCGGCAGCGGAACGTGTACAACCGCGAAAATTACGTATTTATATTAAACACTAATTATGTACATATTACGTGTTATTTTCGAAACGATAAATCGAATAAAATTGCATTTTCTATTCGACATTTTAATAAAATCGCACTTTTTATTTCGGTAATTTCGGCGTTTTTTTTTTTATTATACTAAAATAGGCAGTCGAATTTATATGGAATGTGAATTTGACTGATTTAAAGAAAAGTGGTGTGCGGTGACGTAGGAATTACGTGATCTTTTGGGACAGGTCTCAATTTCGTCCGTGTTAATGTGTCAGCTCAACATTGTACATTTGTGCGTGTGGCCGTGTCATAATTTCTGGAGAAAATTTGACGTCAGCTGACGGCCATTATTTCTAGATACGTCGAGGAGATCATAGAAATAGTTTTCTGAGATGAAAAGAGATAGCATAATATGACATGGCTCGTGACGATATTTCTTATACTTTTTTATGGATTTTTTTAAGGGGGGAAAATCATCGTATGGCTGCTCCTGCCTGGGTGAGGCGGGAGGGAGTGTCAGATTCTTACTGGCTAAAAACCACCCCGTTCCTTCTCCTGCACATCGAGCCGAAGCCCGTTAGTTCTCCCGTTATCCGCGACTTTTTTTATAGAATAGGAGGCAAACGAGCAAAAGGATCACCTGATGGACAGATATTTATCCTCCATTATAACGTAAAAGAGGTTTGAGTTATGTGTCCTCTTTTTGGGAACAATAAGCATCGTTAAAGAAGGAGTAATGGCAGAAGGCAATTTTAGTTACAACTGGTCTACATTTTTAATTTGCAATATTTTTTATACAGTGAGTAAGATATCCCTGGTCTACCAAGTTAAGATAAAGTATTACCAAGGTTTTGGGTAACTTTACCATGGGGGAGCAGGAGTAGGAACGGGGTGGTTTTTAGTCAGTAAAAGTCCGATACTCCCTCTCGCCTCACCCAGAACGGGAGGAGTCATTCTATAATTTTCTACCCACAAAAAGAGGTAAGGTATCATTAGATCAGTAAGTACTTAAGCCTTGACTTCGGAGGATGAAATTTAAAGTATTGTGTTATTTTTTTAAATGCAATCTCGTTGGTAAAATGCATATATGTCTCCACCATCTTATAAAATAGAATTAAAGCATTATCTAGTGAGAAATGCGGCATTTCTTTCTTTCATACTGTCTTTTTTAACTCGTCGAGTACCGGTTTTGTAGACACAATTATAGAACAATAGGTTGCGGTCACCGGTGACCGCTTGGTGTTTGACAGTTTAAAAAACGTTGCCCCATAGGATTTTCTCCTGTGTCGTGGGTGCGTTCACAAACATACGAGTTCAAATACAGATGGAACCCAGACCAAAAACAACAATTTGTGGATAACGCAAAGAGTTGCTCCCGTGTGTCGAACACGCTATACATTGTGCGGCAGCCAGTTACCCAGCGACCGCACCAACTATGCAGTCAAATCATTGCGAATATCAAACCTAACACCTAATCAGGTAGATGCCTAATTTTTATTTTAATGTTCGTCTGGTAGATTATTTTAAATCATTAGACACGTATTTTTTATTTTTTTACAGAAACGAATACTTTCGACGATATATTGATTTTAAATGTCGTGTGACGTCACTTTTATGTATATTTTATACGTAGAAATGACGTTTTAGCCCCCACTCCTAAATTCTGATTCGTTTTATCTACCTCTAATTATTGTTTTATAATACGACAAAATAAAAAAATACGTGTCTAATATTTATTCATTACCTAACTTACGGACTAATTATATTTTTAATTTTCATACCCTGTCATCATCCCAATTCTGAAATCCTAGTATCGGTACCAATTCACTATAAAACACACTCAGCCTATTAAATGAATGTACCAAGCGATAATCTAGTTAAATCAATCTGAAATATTTTGATGGAAATCGTGTTTTAAACGTTTGCTACAAAGTTCAAAATCGAATAAACACATAAGACAAAATTAAGTATTTTGACTTGCCAGTTAGTATAATCATAAAATATTATTTTACAAAGCAAATGCATACTAAAACAGTTACAGTAATCGACTCACGCGCATAAACGTTTAAAATGGAAGTAACTTGTTGAAATGCTTGGATCTTAGGGTGACATCTGCGTTTTACGGTCTCTATATTATAATATTGGTTATGAATTGATAACAACTTCGATTCCCGGTATGAGTCATTTAGCTTTATACTTAGTTTGACTCGTGTTTTGCGTTAGACTAGATCTCATATAATATAGATTTCAGTTTTAGGATATTATTGAACATTTCCCGTATTGGAAAATGAAATTTCAGCAGTAGCACGGAGTCTGGAGACTGGAGTTGTGCCCAGTATATGGCAATAGGCTCACCCCCTATTAAATGGGACTCGTGACATAAATAGTGAAAAGTGAGTGTTACATTGTACAGTGGCATAATGAGCACCTCTGCCTACCCCTCAGGGGACAAAAGGCGTGATGTTATGTTATTATCAAACCAACTTCAAATAAAGAGGGGGTTGTTTTCGGTTGTTTAAAACTTAGTTTCTATAAAACTTATTTGCCACAGTCGTATTATAAAAATATTAGACTTATTTATGATAAAAAGTAAGCATAATTGTAAGCACTATTAAATTTCAGACACCAATTTACTAATTACGACTTCATTCATTATTTTAAAAGAACAACTCATTAACAAAATTATTTGCGAAAAAAGAAAAAGATTTAACTTCTTCAAAGTTCGTTGGAAAATAAATATTTTCGTTTGTAATGCATTGAAAACAAAAGCTTACGAAAAGCTGCGCCGGAGTCGATTGTATTTATAGTAAATAAAACAATACAGTACAAGGACGATGGTTCGTGAACCTTTCTGAATAATTGCTATAAACGTTATATGGTGCAACACTCAATCAGTCAGTTTATAGTATGAAGCAAGTGCGCAAGCGCAGCTACTTACAAAGTGTAAGGTATAAAAGTTAAAAATCTATTTATAGTCCGTCAGTTAGATAATGAAAAAGTATTAGACACGTTCGACTGCCTCGTTGGCCGAGTGGTCGTAAGCGCGACTGCCGGGCAAGGGGTCTCGGGTTCGATTCCCGGGTCGGGCAAGGTATTACTGAGTTTTTAAAAAAAATCTCAGTAGTAGCCCGGAGTCTGGAATTGTGTCCGGTATATGGCAATAGGCTGACCCCCTATTACATGGGACTCAACATAAATAGTGAAAAGTGGGTGTTACATTGTACAGTGGTATAATGTGCACCTCTGCCTACTCCTTCGGGGATAAAAGGCGTGATGTTATGTTATGTTGTTATTAGACTTATTGTCGACTTTCAGATTAACATATTGGATGCCGTGTCGGACAGTGATGTCCGACGCTAGCGGAGGAGCAGTCTTCAACAGTTTTTATCAGCAGCTAAAGGCTTAAGAGCAGGAGCTAGCTGCGTCTCCGTACCCTATAAAATCTTGGCATCAACGTATATAGTATGAAATCAATAATATGTTGTCAAAACTATATGATTCCGTAAGAAAATAAAAAATACGAGTCTAACGTTTTAATTAAATATTATAGATGGGGGCATTTCAAAAAATTAGTCGTCATCCACACTGTCAGGTTTTTATTTTGTCATCATGGTAGCCTGGAGATTAAGGCACCTGCTTCTCATGCACGAAAATGCGGCATTGATTATCTAGACACTACTGACATACGGTGAAAGAACGCTTTATGAGGAATCCTGACCTTACAAATTCTAATTATAAATTGCCAATCTGCCTTAAGCAAGTCTGCTGATTGATGGTCAACTGCTCCTCTCAATTATACAAGGCGTGGTTTTAAAGCCACGTCATTTTCTAGGAGGTAACTCGGCTACCGATTTTGTCTCCGAATCAATAAAAAGAATTGTAGGTAAATATTTTCATTTTTCTGTAAATTACGGAAATCCGTAAGTGCGAACTACACGCCGCCGTCTTGTAACTAGCTTTATAACGCAGCTCAACACACACAAACTCAAACACGTAATTGATTTTGTTCCTAATTCCATAAAACTCCAATAAGAAACATTGCTGCCGCTTATTCTGAAATACTGTCGAACTTAAACGATTTATTATAGCCGTATTTTTAACTATTGGCCCGAAACTTTCTCTTACATTGAACCTTTATGACTTCTGTGACATGCCCCCGAGAAATGCCACGGTTTCAAAACTGTAGTTTTATACAAGGTGTTTATACAAGGTGTACCTTGTATAGATTAAAAATGACATTCATGAAAAGTCCAAATTGAATCGTTTTATAGAACAATATAATGAATCACACATATAGTGTTTCACAAATAGAGGTAAATGACCGAAAAACAAAAGAGAAAAATGTTTTGTAAATTCTTGCATTTCATTAATACAGTAAATTAAATGCAGAAATACCAAAAATAACAACGATACTGGAATATTAATCGATGTTTACTCGACTCCGGCATTTTGGGAGTTATCCAAAACGAGGGTAGATGTGAATATACCTTGACATATTTGATGATTCCGTGTGCAGACTACCTACATTTCTTTTTTAAAGTTTTTTTTTCTTAATTTTGTTTACTATTTAAACGGGTATTCCTTTTTAAACTGTCAAACACCAAGCGGTCACCGGTGACCGCAACCTATTGTTCTTTAATTGTGTCTATAATGACGGTACTCGACGAGTTAAAAAGCCGGCAACGCACCTGTGACTCCTCTAGTGTTGCATCAAGTGATCCGTCTGCTCGTTTGCCTATTATTCCATAAAAAAAACTCAGTCCGCTCCATTTATTTCTTTGAGTCCAATTTAGTATTTGGGTACAATTTATTGGAATTTTACCCCCTTCCTAACGACAGATTTATCTCGTATTTGGTACACACTTTTAATCTTAATGACCATACAGTATTGTCTAATTTATTCAAAATCTACCTCCGTTATCAACAGTTTTAAAGATATG